GGCCTTACCTTCTGAGAAACACATACAACTGTCCTATCATTCTTGAGTGGGGGAATATTTTCTTCTTCCTTTTTCAGGGACAGTTTTCAGGGAAATTTTTAGTGGAACCAATTTACTTGTTGTTGGGCAGTTATCGTATCGTCTTTGTGAATTATTTTCTAAATGTGTATACACTTTATATTTGAGTTTTCTTCCCTTAGACTATATTAAATTATATATAGTTCTACACTACCTTTAATGGTTATTAAATTCAGTGTTTAGTACCAGAAAAGTATTAAATTCAGTGGATTACGCTGCCTTCGTCAAGATCTACTGTAAGTAATCTTTATCTACAATTATCTGGGCGAGTAATATGGTATGGTATCATATCACCTGCCATTATCTGGACGTATCATCTATATCTTCACCTGTAGATTGCCGATTTTTGAATGTAATTTAAAGAACCATTCAATAAATTTCTATAAATAATACCTATGAACATACAAGAGTCAATTTTTTATTAAATAATAGTGCGAGATAGTTAATTGACTTAACCAAGTGCGGTTTGGTTTATGTTTTTATTTCTGTAACCTTTTTGTATTTTTGTACATTTAGAGTTAAGTAATTTTTGCTATCTTTTGTATTTCCTATAATTTTTGTTCATTATCTTTCCTATGATATCTCGAGATATGCCAAACTATATTTGTATATGATTGCCTTATATATCTTGGTAAAGGTATTTTTTTATTACATTATTGCTTAATTTTATACATATATAACACCATTTCATAGTTGTGTATTTTTTTACTTGTGTTGCATTTAGCAGAATCATAATTTTGTGTTTAATATATTGTTATTGTTTTATGCATGTATTTTATTTGTCGGCTCCTAACAAGTTCCCTGATAAAATAATAGCTCTGAACAATTACTATCTTTAAATATTACTATGCTTTTGAACTGTAGAAAGATCAGGCTGATTAAGTTTCGTAGGAAAGTAACTGTAATACTTAATATATTTATTATTTGTTTATATATTGCGTTGACCAGATTTATTTGTTAATTTACTGTTGGTATCTTTCCTTGGGTTTGATCTCTGAACCTAAATATCTTTTCTTATCTCTTGTCTTTTCTAAGGTTTTCTTAATTTTCTCCTTAACCCCAAAAAATTGAGTTTCGCCCTGTTTCTATCTTCTCTTATCTTCGGTAATTTTACCTATCTATCTTTTTGTTTATTTCTGTATCTTTTCTAATATCTCTTATCCTATCTTTACCTATTTCTTCCGTTGGATCCATTCCCGGTTCCAAAAGCTAGTTTCGAACCCACGACTCGCTCTCCACCAACCATCTGGCTGCCGTCCGCAGTGTCTCCATTGGTTATCTTTCTAGCACCACCCAAAAAATATTTCCGAGGTTACAATGTTCTAAATGGTATTACTAACTGTCTACTTCACGAATTTTTTAAAATATTCGTCGTCACAATCGTTATTCGTTTTCGGCTTTCCAAGCGCAATAGTAAACTTTTCTATTTAAGATTGCCCAACAACCTTCATCTATATCTTCACCTGTAGATTGCCGATTTTTGAATGTAATTTAAAGAACCATTCAATAAATTTCTATAAATAATACCTATGAACATACAAGAGTCAATTTTTTATTAAATAATAGTGCGAGATAGTTAATTGACTTAACCAAGTGCGGTTTGGTTTATGTTTTTATTTCTGTAACCTTTTTGTATTTTTGTACATTTAGAGTTAAGTAATTTTTGCTATCTTTTGTATTTCCTATAAATTTTGTTCATTATCTTTCCTATGATATCTCGAGATATGCCAAACTATATTTGTATATGATTGCCTTATATATCTTGGTAAAGGTATTTTTTTATTACATTATTGCTTAATTTTATACATATATAATACCATTTCATAGTTGTGTATTTTTTTTACTTGTGTTGCTGAGTTTTAGAAATTTGATGAGTTTGGTGATGAGACACAAATGGGATGTTGGTCTCTATCCAAATTCTTATTGTTCTAAAGTAATTAGAAAATAAAAGATCACACCAAAGTACAACTTTATATTTATGGTCATGTGTATTAAAAAAATTAACCAATTCTGGCAATAAATGTTCAGTATAATCACTAAAGTCCAAGACCGTATCTCTTACCCAATATCTGTAAGCGATATTTTGACGAAGTACGAACTTATTATTTCGTAGTTCCCCATAAAATTAGACCCTTCCAGATATAGCAAACTGGTCACCGAGATCCTTTGCAGACCCGTAAACTAATCACCGTAAATAGGTAAAATCATCACCAGCATTTTTGTCTTAAGGTGTTGGTTTCTAATCTAGAATATTGACGTGGTAATCTATTAAATTCAAAAACTATTTTACGCTAATTGCTTTAAAACTCTTCTTCTTCGTCTTTATTATAAACAATTCTGCTTGTTCATTGGCGGAATAAAGCCTCTATGGAAGGTTGTCACTCAATCTTTTGCGCGGTCGTCTATTACTTTTTCAGCGGGTTGGTGACTCGGCGATCTGGGAATCTCTTGGTATTTTAACAAAACGGGTCTTCCTTATTCTGCATATGTGGTCATTCTATTCTTTTTTTCTATTTCGTCTTTACTTCTCTTTCGATCTCTTAGCGTATTTTCTGTAATTCTTCTCAGTACTCTCATCTCTGCCATTTTCAGTAGCCTTTAGTTGTAGCTGTGTCGGGTCTTGCTTCTGAGGCATATGCCATTACATATATTAAATAATATATTTATCTCGGGTGTCCTACGGTGAATAGCCTATTAGGCACTGACTAGTGCTTAGTATCTGACATTAGTATCTGACAATCTTAATCGATTCGACATCTGAAAATTTATCTGCATAGGTTTTCGACATTGAACTTTTTATTGTTCTGAAGCTATTTTCTTGTGGCATTTTAAAAGTAATTACTATTTTAATATACTTACTTTAACCTTTAATTGTGGCTTATTTCCATTAAAATAGTAAATCTTTAACTTTTTAATGAAAGTACATGCTATTTTCGATTTTCGGTGATATCGAAAATAGTCCTTACTTCGATATTTGATTTGCATTACATTTTTTAATTTCTTATTAAATTCTATTGATACTTTGTTAAGCATATATTCGATCTAATGCCTTTACCTGATACAGGCTGCAAGTAGGCCAGTGATCAGTTTACAAATCTCTCCAGGTCTATTTTAAAATTCTGATTTTATTGCGGTAATGAGTTTGTACTATCTAAGAGTGCATTTATGATAATTAGCGGTGAGTTTACGTATACCCCTGATCTGACATACCAGAATAATCCTTTTTATTCAAATTTCTTTTTTGATTTATATTTTACATTATACCATGATATATATGTATATCAGCGGTATCCGTCATTATCTTAAATTTCCGAAAAAGATATAAAGCAGGATTTTTCATCCATTATCAAAACTTTGTTGGCTGTAAAGTTGTGAACTCTAAATTAGGACAACATATTGGGATTCTGCACAACTTTTCTTAGTGTATTTTGGACATTTTTAGTTTTCGATAGTTTAGTTCCTTTTTCTTAGTTCTCGAATAACCTTCATGTGACAAAATCTATGACCCATTTTCAGTAAACAACTGATCCAATTGCAAAAATTGAGCCAAATTATGCTGTTAGAATAGTATCTAACACAGAACATGAGACGTCAATGTGTCTTCATATCAAGAACTGTAGCAAAATGGCTTTTGGATTGAATACTCTAAACGTCAGAGAATTGGCATATAAAATGGCTGCTAAAATATTGATTAATTTCATCATCATCATATAACGGGGGTCCTACGGCGATTGCCGCTTCCCGCATTTCAGCCTCCATCTTTTCCTATCTCTCCAATCTCCCTCTTCTAAGCCTCTAGATTGCATTGTTTTTGTAATTTCTCTTCTCCAGGAATATGGTGGTCTTCCCCTTTTCCTTCTTTCTGGCGGAACATACATTAAGGCTTTCTTTGGCCACCGTTCCTCCTCCATTCTCATCACGTGACCATACCATTGTATATTGATTAATTTATATGCATTTATAAAAAGAAATTATCATTAAGCCTCAGAAGGCCAGAAGGACGTTCACTGTTAAGGCTTACTTTATTTACAAAATCAAATGTTGACTGATTTTTCTTAAATTTTGAGCAAATGTACGCAAAATATCCATCAATTGTTGAAGATATTCGCATTTACATTTTAGACGAAACTGCTACTACGACTGTCCAACGATCGCATATAGTTATGGCACCAAAAAGGTATTGAACAGCTGAGCCAGCACACAAGTGCTAAAATAATAACTCTTGTTATTGTTTTCCTCGTTAATGGTGCTCCGTCAGGAACATTACGACTAACGAATCCAAGTGAATGGACTGATGAACTATTAACTCAAGTATTAGATCACTTTACTAAGCATACTGATGTCAGAAAAGAAATCCATGTTTATCAATATATGAAAATCATGAATCTCATATGTCTCCGGAAACAGCAGAAAAAGCAAAAGCTAATTTTAAACCTTACCACCATTGCTTCTGAACCACCTTGGCGTTCCTATGACACTGTACCAAGTAGCAGAATATGCCGGTATTGCAACTAAAACCAATGACATCTGAAAATATTAAGAACGGCTTCAAATCTACAGGTATCTACAATTTTAATAAACATATTTTTAGTGAAACTGATTTTATATTATCGTCGATTACTGACAGACAGATTGATGATTTTGAAAATTATGACGGACAAAAAGCTATGGTTGTACTAAAAGATTCTACCAATCACGAAGAAAATGTATCTGTATCGTCATCTTCAGTTAATATAGCTTTTACTTCATCTACTACAACCCAAAACTCTAATTAGAATTCAACTCTTCCAATACCTTTGACATCAAAAAGTCCTTGTGTTACCCCATTCTACATACGGGGTTTTCCTAAAGCCGCACACAGAAACAATTCAAATCGTAGACGGAAATCAAGGAAAAGTGTCATTTTAACTCATATACCAGAAATGAAAGACCTTTCTGATCAAATGGAAGGTAAGAAAACAGCAGCAGTCAAATAAATGAAACGAAATATTTGTAAAGTTTTAAGCATAAAAGGTTATAAGCAAGACCCTTCCAGAAAAAAGACCAAGCCAGCTGAAAGTGATTCAGAAACGTAATCCGGAAGTTTAGAGTTCACAGACTCTTCAGATGATGAATTAAGTTCTCCTATGATGCAGGAACAAAAGAATGACTCAGAATCTTACGCAATATATATTTATAAAAATTTTAAAGTTATTATTTTTACTTTACTCATAATAACCATCAAGTTCTATGAAAAAATGTACACAGATAAGAGAACTCTAAATGGAGATTTTTTCGAAGGTTCGCATTCCGATCTTAGAGTATATTTCCTAAAAATTGGAATTGGTCATTGTGCACCAGTCTTCCCTAATTACTGGAATTCTTATAATTTCTTGAAAATTGCATAATACGCGCGGTTACCAAATATGTTCACGTTATATGTTCCGTGGTTAAACACAAAGGCCCAGGTAATAAAAAAAAAGCTCAATCTACTTACACTGTCATTAATATGTTTGAAAACGCTGCTTTATATTTTCACTTTCTGTTGTCTATCACATTAAATATGCGAAACAACGACTACAAGTTAACGTGTGGCTACAAAACAACATAAAATTAAACAGCTGATGGTTGATGTCAGACCAATGGACTGAGAATAAATCTATCAACATATTTTGAATAAATATTTTACTTGATGTATACAAACACCGATTTTACCCTTGTTAAAACATACCAGCTGCACATTTTATCCTGAAAATATCCCAATCAATATGATTCAATTACGAAAACTGGTACCGATAGCCTTGAATGAATATGATGGTAGTTTTTTTTTCGATACATGCTAGCCCATATTTTAACATTCCACTGTCTCGTAAGTATTCACAATTAATAAATGGTCCAGTGGTAATTATTGTTATTTTGCATCTGCTCTTTTGACTTCTTGCAATGCGGGTGAATGTTTGATATAAAAACTGAAATGTAGGTGACAGGCCTTGGGAGTGATTACTGACACACTTAATTAAAATTAACAGGTGATTTGATCAACAACAGACACAGAGTATACATTGTTTTTAACGTTGTTAAAACAATGTTAAAAACATTGTATATTTTTTTCAGTTTTAATAACTATGATCAAATAAATACGTTGAAAATTTAATCACTCCACTAAAAAAATTGACATGTTTTAGGATCACAAACTTATTTAATTAAAACTAGTTTACGTAACATACCAGTAATTTTTATTTGTAGTGTAAGATACAGAGTGATTCATGACAATCAATAACAAATGACATTTAAAAAGTGCTTGCTCCCCTTATTTAACAATATACAGGACAATTTGTGAATTTGTCAACTTTTGATTAAGAAATATCCAATTGTCTGCTTATTTGCTGGCACCTATTTTAGTATAGGAACTGCATCATGAATCTGATCTTCTTTGATACGCTCTGCTGGCAGACCTGCCATTTCTGTCATAAAACCTGTAAACAAAAATAATGTCTGCATATTCTGTTATTAAAAATTGAGGGGACAGTTTGCAATTAAATTAAATAATTTAAATAACGAGCATTACCTCAAAAATCAATGAAAAACAATGAAAATAGTGTATGAAATACAAATAAATGAATGAAAAGTGTAAAATTATATATAAAAACAACGAAAATGTCAATATATCACTATTTCCTAAATCATTTAAATTTTCACTTTAATAAACGGTGAGAAGGTGGTGATGCAAATTACGGAAACAATATTTCTTTTTTTTTTGTTTATAATTTAGTTTCATTTTTATTTGTTTTTTACAAATTTAAAAACAAATTACATACATAATAACAATAATTTTAAACGTTAATTTCGCTCACTTCATTAGGTCAACAATAAAGCTGTAGAGTATTAATGTAGCTTTTCTTTTAAGCAAAAGTAAAATAAATGTCAATCAAAATTCACAACTCGCCCTGTATGTTATTTAAAAATAGGAGCAGATATTGTTTAATAGTCATTTGTTATTTCTCATAGAGGTTTTCTCCATGAAGGGACACAATTCCTATTCCTCACAAAGGAGTATCTACTCTTCCTCATGTCTCACCCTGTAAAGGTTTTGGGCAAATTAAAGGAATTTTTCACTAAATTACTAAGTGCTTTAGCATCTAACAAGTTCAAATGGTTTTATTAATTTTGAGTTTCTTCTATCTTTCTGCACGACAAGAGGTCTGGGCGCTTAGATGTTAAGGTGGTTTTGTAGTTTTTTCTATTAGTGTTGTCAAGTATAATGATTAAGTCTGTCACTATCTTCTTCTTCTTTGGGTGCTGTGTCCGTATTCAGACGTTGGCCGTCATCATGTTTACAATTTCCTGAAACCTTTCTCTGTCGGCTGCTGCGCGAAATAATTCTTCTACTGTGAAACCACACCATTGTCTAATATTACGCAGCCATGAAAGTTTCTTTCGACCAATCCTTCTCTGTCACTATAGTTAATGTTAATGTCATGACAAATATCACTTAGAGTGATCTTCAATTCCTTATAGATCAAGTTACTAGAGAATGCCCCAATAATGAACTTGTCATAAATACATCAAAGACAAAGTAACATGTGGTTAGTAAACAAGACGTTGATTATTTGCAATTTTCAACAATGAGCCGATTACAAGAGTTAAACATTTAAAATACCTAGGATATTGGGTAAACGAGACACTCAATCCTGAGGAAGAAATTAAAACTCATACAGAAACTGCAAGAGAAGCATTTGTGAAACTCAGATCCATACTGTGCAATTCTCAGCTGAACTTACAACTAAGAGTTGTACCGTTATTTTTAAAATATTCTCTATTACTAGATGGATGTGAAACCTGAATAATGAAGATTAATATCATGAACAAATTAGAAGCCTTCGAGATATGGTCATATCGTAGAATTTCCATAATATTATGTGGGTATTAAATAGAATAGATCAAGGCGAAGGTAACTTGACGAAGTTGATGAAAAAGAGAAAACTTGGATATCTGGGGAATATAATATGAGGTAGGAGATACTGAATAGTGCAGTTAATACTCAGAAGAAAGATCTAGGAAAAAAGAGAAATTGACAGAAAGAAATATTCATGGTATCAAAAACTTCGTCAATGGACTGGCAGATTAATAGGTAGATGCCGTGGAAGAACAAGAAGAAAATCGGCAAATAGTCATGGAAGTTACCCACACCTAATTTTTACACGGTACTCAAAGAAGAAGAAGGTTGCTTCAATAATCACAATGAATAGTTACTATCATGCACATACTAAGAGGCATTCACTGCATAATTTCGCATATGCTTTGAAAAAGTTATATCTACTGATACAGCTTCATAACTAGATACCTTAAGTCTTTTAACTTTTAAGCAAAATTGCATATATAGAAGAAGCTTATAGTAGATTGATATATCAAAATTATGATTAAGCACCCAATATATTTTTATCACGTTAATATTTTCATCAAATTTTTTCTTTATATGTCCATTCATCAAAAATATAAGCAACAGAGGGCAAAAGGAAAAGATATGGTGATTGAAGCAAAAAAGAAGAGCTGGGAGGATTTTGGGAATAAGCTGGAGAAAGACTACCACACTAACCAAAAACTATTTTACAAAACTCTGAGAAGCCTAAGAACAGGGAACAGACAACAAACACCAAAACAAATTAAAAACAAAGATGGCCACATCCTCTGCGAGAACGAAAGTATTATGAACAGGTGGAGAGAATATTTCGAAGACCTTCTGACTCAAAAAGACTATAATAATGAAATAGACAACACTGAAGAAAACACATCTGAGAACCCAAACCAAAACGAAATAACAATAGAAGAAATAAGAGAAATAATACTCAGGCTCAAAAGAGGAAAGGCAGCTGGCTATGATAAGATAACTGCGGAAATGCTAAAAAATATGGGAGAAAATGGAAATGAAATGCTTAAAAAAGTTTGCAATAAAGCATGGAATGAGAACAAGATCCCAAAAGACTGGGAAGTGGGCGTTATTCTACCCATTTTCAAAAAAGGTGACAGACGAGAATGCAGCAACTATAGAAGTATAACTCTCCTGAGTATCCCTTCCAAAGTTTACGATCGAGTACTGGAGAAAAGACTATTACAAGAAGTAGACCATAAGCTGGAGCAGTCACAGAGCGGTTTCAGGAAGGGAAGAAGCATCCATGACCATATTTTTACACTCAAGCATCTAATGCATCTAAAATGCACGAAATACAAGCACGGAACTATACCAAGCCTTCATAGACCTCGAAAAAGCATTTGATAGAACCCCGCGAACTGAAATAGACAAAAGCCTAAGAAACAGAGAAGTAGACGGCAAACTCAGAAAAGCTATTATGAGCCTATACATATACAAGAACACAAGAAACAGGGTAAGAACAGATAATATTGAATCAGAAGAGTTTAGAGTCAATGATGGCTTGACAAGGAGGTGTACTAGGCCCCATCCTGTTTAATATTGTACTAGATGATGTAATGAAGGAAACTAGAAAAGAAACATCGAGATTATTTGTTGGACATAGAAACCTGGAAATGATACAGATTGCGGAGTGCGCATTTGCAGATGACCTCGTCGTATTCGGAAGAAACGAGGACGCACTTAAGAGAAACCTCCAAATATGGAAAGATAAACTTGAGAAACGCAATCTGAGAATTAATGAAAGTAAAACCAGAGTGATGGTATGTGGGAAAACAGACCAACATACAAACATTAAAATCAATAACTATACTTTAGAACAAGTAGAAACCTTCAAATACCTGGGAGTGCAACTAGAGAGTAGGGGTACACAAGAAGCAGAGATAAATAATCGAATAGCAAACGCTTCCCAGATATACCACGCAATTAAGAGCACATTCCTATCGAAAAAAGAAGTATCCCAAAAAGCAAAGATAGCTATCTACAACACAGTTTTTGTACCTATCTTAACATTTGGATGTGAAAGTTGGACGCTCACCACCAG